AAGTAAAATAATATTTAAAATTAATTACCTCCGTCAGCTGTACTTTCCAACGCTATGTCGTATGATTTATACTTTTTTTTCTTAGCTGGAGGGGGACTTATAGAACCACAAGGGGGCAGTTGCTGATTATTTTCCGTACTTGTCCAATTTTCTTCAGGATCTTCAATCTAACAAATAATTTTCATTTAGAATTAATGAATGATTAAAAAATAAAAAGCCTTAATTTCTTTTTATTTTTAATGAATTCTTAGATTAAAATTTACAACAATTTACCTCTGGAGCAATTGGCAAAAACTGTAACACGTCTCCATCCTCATTCTCTTCATCTGAACTGCAAAAGGCTGCTATAGGTTCAACAGAAGACACGTCAATCTGTAACATAGAAGCAAAGCACAATACATCATTTTGTACGAGACAATTTTTAATAATTGTCAATATAAACCTCCAAATCAGAATCCTCTTTATTATTTCCTCCACTAACAACAGATTTGTCCTCATCAGTTACATCAAATTCACTTTCTCTTTCTTCATATTCAACATTTTCATCAAGTTCTTTAAAATCTGGTGCAAATGCAGACCAATTTTCAACTTGATTTTGCGCCCAAATACTAACCACACCTTAAAGAAAATAAAAAAGCAATTAAATAATGACATTAAACATATTTATTTACTTATTTTCTTAGTTATTTGGATATTAATTTATTGGTTTAATAATTATGTCTTGGCTTATTCAATGTTTTCACTAGTAAATAAAATAAATGCAACAAAAATCTAGAATTGCATACCAGATGAAATGCTAGCAATGATTGGTCGTACTGGATGCCAAGCCACATCTAGTAAAAGCTCTCCTTTAGTGCCATGCAAAATTTTTACTAGATTTCCAATAGATTTTTCCCAAATGTAAAGAGCATGTTGCCTTGCAGATCCAGCACATATGTATTCACCATCCCCAGAGAAGCAACACTTTTTCCACATTGTTCTAAAAAGACATTAATTTTAAAATAAAGTAATTAAGTAGACAACAAATAGTAATTTACTTATTAACGAGATCTTGAAGTTTCTGAATTGGCTCAGGTTCTCCATTTCTGCCACATGTTAAAACCTCTTTACTATTATACACTCGAATGACACGGTCAGCAGTANACAAATAGTAATTTACTTATTAACGAGATCTTGAAGTTTCTGAATTGGCTCAGGTTCTCCATTTCTGCCACATGTTAAAACCTCTTTACTATTATACACTCGAATGACACGGTCAGCAGTATTTACAAGGAAACAGCTGCAAAATAACAATAAAAATATACAATTTATTGCCTTTTTTTTCTAAAAACTCACTCTCCTCTTCTTGCAAATTCAATGCTTTTAACAGCAGTAGCACTGGATGTTCCTAGTGTAATCCTGAAGCATGCTTTCACTTCTAATGTTGATGCATCCAAAACTAAAATCTTCCCCTTAGCATTTCCAGTGTAAACATACTCTCCACGTCTATCAAAAGATGCCACAATGTTCAAATCAGCCTAAAAATAAGTATTAACCATAAAGGAACTTAAATGTCTAATGATTTGGTACTGCAATTGTAATAAAATAGCTTAAAAAAATGTACGTAACCACTGGCTGCAAAATAAATAAATAGTCATTGCCCTATTCATTCCTTTGAAGAAAATAATATATAATAAGAAATATAATACTCACATCATCATCAATGGGAAGAACTTGATGATTGCCACTAATGTCTACTAATACTGCAGCATGTCGCATGGGACAAACAAGCAATTTCTCTAGATTCCGCGGTTGAAACTGGACCTTCAAAACTGGACAAGGAAATCTAAATTTCTGTTCACATTCACTAGACAACACATCCCAAATACACACAGTATTGTCAGTTGAAGCAGAAGCTATCTTATGACCATTTCGAGACCAACTTACACTGCAAACAGGATGTACATGTGCCGAAATTATTTTAGCAATTCCGCGAGTTAAAAAGTCCCAAATTACTATTCGACCATCGTTGCAACCAACAGCCAAGAGTGTGCCTCTCTTATTAAATGCACACGTTACAGCTATTGATAAACAATCTAAAGCTCCATCAAATTCCTATTAACGAACAGTATTAGGTTCGCAAATAAAATAAACTACTCAAAACTCACCTCTGGGTAATTCTGTCCGAAAGATTCTAAAAAGTTAGATAAGTTATAAAACAAATGCCTAATAGATGCTACTATATTTCCACTTACCTAATAGTTCTAAATTCATTTCTATGTCTTATTTATATGTTTCCTGTAAGGAATACATTCACCTATTTGCTTAGCGTTAATGGTTTTTTGTATTTTACAAACAATAATTGTTTATTATTAAACTTTATAATATTTGTTTGTGTAGGTTATGTAAGGTTATGTCTCCCCAGATTGTGGTTCCATAACAACAACATAACTCACTTTTCTTTACAACTTTAAAAATTAATATCTGAATCTCTCAAAACGTGTGTAAAATTTTTGATTAATTAATAGTTCATAAGAACTTCAAAATATTTTACAAATCACACCACAAAAGAAGTTCCAGAAACAACATAATATAACCTTACTTTTTTCTATTTAAGATACATAAGTTATCTTTATAATTATTTAAATTTCTGAATTAAAGTTCATAATTTGTAAGAAGCTAAGTTAAAAGAAAGTCATATAATTTGTAATATAAGTGCTTTGGTAAGGTTTAAGCGTCCTAAAATATGAGCAGAAGAAAGAAAGTTAAGGTAATCTACTCCTTGTTTTTTCGTAATTTTTCGTTTAATGTAAATTATTTGCAGATAGAGACGAAGGAAACTGAGGAAAAGCCATTTATTTCGGAAGATGACAGTGCAATACCTTCTCAAGAAAAGTTGAAATTACAATCTGATAAGAAAGTAAACAGTGGGGCAAATTTGTCTAAAGTGAAGAAAGAAACAAAGAAGGAGGACATTAAGAAAGAAGAAAAGAAGGATCAGGACGCAGATTCTGAGCTTGATGATCCTTTAATAAAAGAACTTTTCTCTGGTTTAGAGGGTGCAGCCTTTCAAAGTCGTATGCCATTTGATAAAATGACATCAACTGAAGCTGCTTATTTCCCAGACATTGCTCAGACATCTTTAGCATCAGTTAAAGTTTTTCTGCACGTTAGAAATCGTATTTTACATATGTGGCTAGAAAATCCTAAAGAACAGTTAACTATCGAGGCAGCTGTAGAAAAAATGGAGCCACCCTATAACAGTGACTTGCCGCTTGTTCATCGCGTTCATGCTTTTCTAGAACGGAATGGTTTTATCAATTTTGGCATTTTCAAACGTGTAAATCCATTGCCAGCTCAGAAGTGTGGGAAAGTAATTGTTATTGGTGCTGGAATTGCTGGACTAGCTGCTGCACGACAACTTCAACAATTTGGAATGGAAGTTCTTGTTCTTGAAGCTAGAGACAGGGTTGGTGGAAGAATAGCCACATTTAGAAAAGGTAGAGATACTAACGGACTTGGTTGTTTGTCCACTTTGATGTTATACAAATAAAGTACAATTTTGGTTCATTTTAGGTAGTTTTGTGGCAGATTTAGGAGCCATGGTTGTCACAGGCCTTGGAGGGAACCCTGTCACAGTTTTAAGCAAGCAAATAGAAATGGAACTGCACCGAATTCGGCAAAAGTGTCCTCTGTATCAATCAAATGGGGTAACTGTAGATAAAGATAAAGACGAAATGGTAGAACGTGAATTCAATCGTTTACTTGAAGCTACTTCTTACCTTTCTCACACTCTCGATTTCAATTATGCTGGCAACAAGCCTGTCAGTTTGGGACAAGCTCTCGAGTGGGTCATCAAATTGCAAGAGAAACATGTTAAAGAAAAACAAATACAACATTTAAAGTCAGTTATTGTACTTCAAGAGAAATTGAAAGTAAATCAAAAGTTGCTTGTCAGTATTAAAGAGCATATGCAAGATTTAAATGGTAAAGTGAAGGAATTGGCTGCAATTGAGAAAAGAGATGTGCAGCTTGAGTTTGCTTACAGAAGTAGTTTACGAGACCTCAGTGTATGTGCTAAAGAATGGGATCAGCTTCAAGAACAAGCAAAGGAAATCGAAGATAAACTTAAAGAGTTGGAAAGCAATCCACCAAGGTAAATACATTTCTTCGTTTTTCTTTAATGATTTTACTGTTTGGAACTTTTTGTTTCAGTGATGTGTATTTATCATCGAAGGATAGGCAGATCTTAGACTGGCATTTTGCTAATTTGGAGTTTGCAAATGCTACTCCTCTTTCCAATCTATCTTTAAAGCACTGGGACCAAGATGACGACTTCGAGTTCACTGGAAATCATCTAACAGGTACTCATTTACTATTATTTTTTACAGTCTACAAAATAAAAACAAATTAAAATAAATGGAATCATGCAATTTGATTTGCGCGCAGTTAGGTTCTCTCATTTTACTTTAAACTTTTTAAAACTTTTGATTATAAAAGTTCATGTTTTAATGAATGCAGGTATATAAGCATATGTAGGTCGTCAAGTGTGTTTTTGGTTCGGCTAGAAAACTGCTTTTATATTTGGATTATTCACGATTTTTTAGATATTTTAAGGGTCTTTCAATTTTTACAAACTTTGTTTATTAACTAACACTAGTTTTTCCCCTTTATCAATCATTGTGAACTCGAAACTGTTAGCACCATTACTTCGAGTGGTCGAAATTCACTTGTGAACAATTTGTTTGAAAAACGTCTTGATTCTAATTGTTTATATTCGTGCGCTTTAAAGTATTCAAATCAGTGACAGCAATACTTAGAGAGCAAGAGTTGGACTTTGCCCTGTGCTGACAGCACTTATATTTTTTTTTAT